GATTTTTAGGGTTTTTTTTATACGAATAATGGCGGCGATCAGCGAATTATGGCGGCGATCAGCGACTTATGGCGGCGACCAGCGACTTATGGCAGCGACCAGCGACTTATGGCGGGACTGCAGGACTGCGGCGGACATTTTGACATTGGGGGGTACTGACTTGGGGTCACTGACATCCCCAAAAACACTAATACAGTGATCAGTGCAAAAAAAAAAAAAACTGACACTGTACTAATGGCACTGGGGAGGAAGGGGTTAACTTTATTTAGCAGGGAAGGGTTATAGGAGTGAGGGGGAGTGTTTTACTAGGGGGCGGGGGTGTGTACTGGGCGGGACAAGGCTGATCGAGAAAGAAAAACTGTTCTTTCTCGATCAGCTCATCCTCGAGCTGTCAGGGAAGTGACAGAAAGCACAGCTACTGCAGCTGTGCTGTCTGTCACTGTTTGCCGCCGATCGCCGGGACATAGCCGCTAAGGAGCGGCTGTGACCCGGTGACCGACATCTGCGGCAGAGAACCGCGGGACAAATAGGGCGGCGGCGCGCCTCCTATTTGTTTACAAAACACACGTCTTAAAACGTGGTTTTGCCTGTGAGTGCCGCCCTGCCACCGTATATGTACAGTGGCTGGGCGGCATGCGGTTAATAGGCTTTTTTGGGTGTTGATGAGGACACAGGGGCCCCATGATCCCCTATGGCCCGGGGGCCCCATGAGTTGTCAGTCCGCCCCTGCTTACACTTGTCCATTTTTTTCTACTTTCAACACACCAACTTCAGGGACACCATGTTCACTTGCTGCCTAATATTTCCCACCCACTTTCAGGTGCCACTGTCACCAGGTAATCAGTGTTCACTATACCTGTCAGTGGTCTGATCGGTGTACAGTATATGACGATCGGTAAAATAGTTCCTAATCGTTCAGCACGCATGTGTGGCCGACCACGCCTTTAATAACTGACATATCTTAGTTACACAATATTTGTGATTCATTTGTTTTAGCCGACGTCTTACCTGCACATGATCAGCTGCAGAGCCCGTGTACGGCCCTAAACACACAGACGCTGTTTGATTTTGGCCTGTAATTGCTTTTCTGTATCTGAACTGCAGAGGAAGACAAACATGGGGGGCAGCTTCACCTGCCAAAGGATAGGCATTAATAGACTCCTTAACCACTTCCTGTCCGGACACTTTTACTCCCTTCCTGTCCAGGGCAATTTTCAGCTTTCAGCGCTATCACACTTTGAATGACAATTGCGCGGTCATGCAACACTGTACCCATATGAATTTTTTACCATTTTTTTGAGACAGATAAAGCTTTATTTTGGTGGTATTTATTCACCGCTGGGATTTTTATTTTTTTTGCTATGTAAATGAAAATGTCTAAAAATTTTGAAAAAAAAGTGTTTTTTTAAATAAAATTTTGCAAATAAATGCTATTTCATCATAAATCTTGGCCAAAATTTATTTCGTTATTTTTTTAGTAAAAAAAAAAAAATCTAAATTAGTTTATAACCAAAAATTATAATTTTTAAACTTTTTTTTACATTTTTATTTTATTTTTTTATATTATTTATTTATTTTTTTTTTTTACATACTGTCACCCTAGCAGTACAGTGTCACCATGGTGACACTGTACTACTTGTGGGGGGTGATGAAGATTTTTTTTTTTTTTTTTTTTTACACTGATTGCTTTTACACCCATATAGGATGTAAAAGCAATCATTTCTCTTTCTCTCTGTCTGCATTCTTGCAGTCATTGAGAAGTACTGAGTGAGCTGTGATTGGTCACAGCTTGTCACATGCCTTGTGACAGCCTTGTACCATGTGACCTCTGTGATCATTCACAGATTTCACACGTAGTAAGCAATGATGTCACAAGTGACATCTTGCTTACTACTTTGCATGTGATCACTGATTGGCCAATCAGTGATCACATGATCATCAGGACCCGTCCGACGATCGGTGTTTCACTGTGTCCGGAGGACACAGCGGGCACCGGATTGCGGTGCTGTGCGCTCCCAGGGAGCGCGCACAAGCAGGGTGCAGGGAGGCCGTTTATGAACAGCAGGCGGACGGCAAGTGGTTAATGATGTATCAGTGATCACAGAATTGCATTCAGCTTTCTTTAAATCTGTCTGAAGTTTAGCTTTAATGGAGTGTACATCATTACAAAGAACAAGCCGAGAACAGTCATGAGAAATGTTTTTACACTGCGGCCAGGGCTGCTGTTAGAAACCACGGGGCCCATACAGCCAACCTAACAGGGCCTGCTTAAAAACCCCCCACAAAAACACAGTTTTACTATGCGTCAGTTATGAATGAACACAGTGAGTGATCAGTACTGATCACTTTTTTTATTATTATTATTATTATACAGGATTTATATGGCGCCAACAGTTTGCTCAGCGCTTTACAATATAACGGGAGACAATACAGCAACAATACAGTTCAGTACAAGAGGGTTAGGAGGGCCCTGATCCTGGGAGCTTACAATCTCATTCAGGAAAGGAAGGGGCTGGTTAATGTGACATATTTATGGGACCCTTCCCCCACTCTCTGTCCTGAAAGATCCTATTGTGTGCTTGCAGCTGGAAGGAGAGAAGGGAAGCCGGCACTGTGGGGGCCCAGGCAGCTGGGTGAATCAAATGTGCACAGGGAGGGCGATCGGCATGGTTGGGGCAATTTCCGGAACTGATCCCCTGCATGGTTCTCTCTGCAGCAGCTGAAAATCAATGGAAGGGATGCCCACATCCAATTCACCCAGCTCCCTGGGCCCTCCTACTGGCCTGGGCCCCGTATAGGAGGACTGGTGGTACCCCCTTATCCACAGCCCTGACTACAGCTCATTTTCATTATTTAAAGACATTCTCTAAGAAACAGGTAACCCTTTATTTACTTACAGTGTCAATTATGGCCACTGGATGAAGCTGGTGATCATAGGAAATAAAATGAACATGACATTTAGCACACATTAAACATATTATTATGGGATTATACAAGATGGCTATGCAAATGCTGAGACATCGGAGTTCAGCTTAGACACAACTTCTATGGAGTGTAAGCGGGTTAATTTCCCTTTTAGTAAAGGTTGGTGGAGTCAGTACCCATTTTATAAACCTTTGTGAGTGGAGCTCTCGTTAGAAAGGAGCATGGAAACAGGCCACCCCTGATTTACATTATGGAGGTTTGTGACCCTAGCAGAAGAGAGAGCCCTTTGGAGCTGGAATGGTTGGAGGCTCTGGATGAAGGCCCACAGTAGGGGGACTCACAGTGGAGACAATGTGGGAGAATTGGCTGAACTTTCTGAGTTCTGAGGTAACTGCATGAAGTTGATTTGCGCTGTCGGTCTGATGAGTGGCATGAAGAAAAGGCTGTGAAGAACTTCAATCTGTCCTTCACAGTAAAAAGTTGGAAAAGTGTCTTGTGTGGACTTTCTTTATTCAAGGTGATGCACATAAGGGCCTGGAGCCCTATTGGAAAAGCATCCTGTGTGGACATTCTTTATTCGAGGTGGTGGACCTCAGGCCTAGAGCCCTATTGGAAAAGCACCCTGTGTGGACATTCTTTATTTTAGATCCTGGGCCTTGGGCCTAGAGCCCTATTGGAAAAGCACCCTGTGTGGACATTCTTTATTTGAGGTGGAGGACTTCATGCCTGGAGCCCTATTGGAAAAGCATCCTGTGTGGACATTCTTTTTTCAAGGTGGTGGACCTCAGGCCTAGAGCCCTATTGAAAAAGCACCCTGTGTGGACATTCTTTATTCGAGGTGGTGGGCCTCTGGCCTAAAGCCCTACTGGAAAAGCACCCTGTGTGGACATTCTTTATTCGAGGTGGTGGACCTCAGGCCTGGAGCCCTATTGGAAAAGCACCCTGTGTGGACATTCTTTATTCGAGGTCGTGGGCCTCAGGACTAGAGCCCTATTGGAAAAGCATCTTGTGTGAGCATTCTTTATTTAAGGTCATGGGCCTCTGGCCTAGAGCCCTATTGGAAAAGCACCCTGTGTGGACATTCTTTATTTTAGATCCTGGGCCTTGGACCTAGAGCCCTATTGGAAAAGCACCCTGTGTGGACATTCTTTATTTGAGGTGGAGGACTTCATGCCTGGAGCCCTATTGGAAAAGCATCCTGTGTGGACATTCTTTTTTCAAGGTGGTGGACCTCAGGCCTAGAGCCCTATTGAAAAAGCACCCTGTGTGGACATTCTTTATTCGAGGCGGTGAGCCTCAGGACTAGAGCCCTATTGGAAAAGCTCTTGTGTGAACATTCTTTATTTAAGGTCGTGGGCCTCTGGCCTAGAGCCCTATTGGAAAAGCACCCTGTGTGGACATTCTTTATTCGAGGTGGTGGGCCTCAGGACTAGAGCCCTATTGGAAAAGCATCTTGTGTGAACATTCTTTATTTAAGGTCGTGGGCCTCTGGCCTAGAGCCCTATTGGAAAAGCACCCTGTGTGGACATTCTTTATTCGAGGTGATGGACCTCAGGCCTGGAGCCCTATTGGAAAAGAATCTTGTGTGGACATTCTTTATTTATGGTAGTGGGCCTCAGACCTGGAGCCCTATCTCAAGGAAATGATGAGGCAGAGTCTCTGGCCAACTTGGCAAAATCCAGGTCACTTACAGATATATCAGTGAAGAGACTTCATGTTTTACTTGTGTCCGAGAGCTGAATATCAACCCTGCCCTGCTATGCAGAGTTAAACATTTATGTGTTTGGAGTAAAGACTCCACAGAATTAAATATTAATATTAAAAAATTTAACTGACCAAAGGTGAGCAGCCCACAGGAGTGTTGCACCAGCTGAACGTCCCTCCCTTTCAAATCAACCTCTCTGGCAACTGAAAGGTGGCAGGTAGCCAGGCCTACTGTAACTTTGGGCCTTCATGGTCTTCCAAGCAATTATCAACAGCTAGTTGATTGCCTCTATTTTTGTACCAGTTATTTTTATTTCTTGTAGGATGCCGTAGATGCTCCTGGTTTGTTCCAGAAGAAGTATCTTTGGTCATCAGATACTGTAGAAGCCTTCATGAGACTCCTCATCCTCCTCTTTCTGATGGTCCTCCGGCTGGATATAATTGTCTTCTATGAAGCCATCTTCGTCATCTTGGTGAGGGATGGGGACCCCAGGTAGCTCGCTTTGTGACTCAGCTGTCCACTCATTCTCTGGCAAAGGACGATGGCGGTAGCTGCGGAAATATCGATGGAAGAACTTGCACTTGGCGGCAGCGGCTATTAGAAGAGACAAAGTGGCGGCAATGAGCACAAACCCCACTAGATACGGCCAGCTTCTGCTCTGAGATACAGATGGGGGTGAGGGGGAAGCTGAGGAACACAAAAAAAAAGAGAAAATAATTTGCAACATTCTTAATAATTTTGTAGTAACTTTATTTCAGTGCTTTGTGGAAATTTATATAATTTATAATAATTTTTTATAATATAATATTTTAAATATAATAGAAGAATCCTTCCATTTCTTTGAAAACCCAGGTTTTAATACATTCAATACATCCGTTCAGCAAAGGACTGACAACTCATGGGGCCCCTGGGCAATAGGGGATCATGGGACCCCCGTGTCCTCACCCATACTTAAAATCACACCCAAAAAAGCCTATGAAAAGGTACTAAAGGCATCTCATGGGACCCCTGGGTAGTAGGGGATCATGGGGCCCCTGTGTCCTCACCCACACTTAAAACCACACCCAAAAAAAGCCTATGAAAAGGTACTAAGGGCATCTCATGAGGCCCCTGGGCAATAGGGGATCATGGGGCCCCCCGTGTCCTCACCCACACTGAAAACCACACCCAAAAAAACCCTATGAAAAGGTACTAAGGGCATCTCATGGGGCCCCTGGGCAATAGGGGATCATGGGGCCCTTGTGTCCTCTCCCACACTTAAAACCACACCCAAAAAAAGCCTTTGAAAGGTACTAGGGGCATCTCATGGGGCCCCCTACTGACCCTGGCCCCTCGGGCAGTGCCCGAGTACTCGAATGGTCAGTCCGCCCCTGCATCCGTTTAGAGTTTGATTTCTTTAGAAAGAAGCCACGACCTGAATAGAAAAGCCTGTCCCCGGCCAGCATGCTGCAGAGAAGGGTTTGCGAAAGCATTTGTTGAACACAAAGTGGATTTATTCTCTTTGTGGTTATTAAGGAATATATTTCGATGAAAGATTTTGAGCCAAGAGTTCAGCTTTAGCCCGGGTTCACATATATGTGGGTGCGGTATATCGCATTTGATTCGCACAGGAACCGCACCGCATTCCTGTTCAAATCACATGAGATTTTGTGCGGTGCGAATGGAGCCGTACATTTTGTACGGCTCTAATCCAGAGGTGTCCAAACTTTTTTCAAAGAGGGCCAGATTGGATGAAGTGAACATGGTGGAGGGCCGAACATTTTTCCGAACATTCTTTGAACCATTACAATTAAATGCAAATAAATTATTTTATGCCAAGTTAATTGCAAACGACATACTTTTCATTTCATAACATTAAGATCAACTGACAGCTGAGTTTTCACAATGTATTGAAAATAAATTAAAAAAAAAACTTACCTGCACTAATGTGAAGGGTGAAAAAGGTAGCTGGAGCTGAAGTCTCTGCTCGGCAGCCGGGAGGGGAAGAGAAACACACTTCACGCTGGAAGTCCGGCCCTGACGTCACCGCCCTCTGTCGCTCCCAGCGCGGTGCAGTCACGCATGCGCACTGCTCTCAAGCAGAAGACTGTCTGCCATAGAAGGGAGGGCCGTGCGACAGCCGCAGCATTTACACAGACCAGGGAGAATGCGCCGCAGTCAGGCATGCGCACTGCCCTCTGCTCTCAAGCAGAAGACTGTCTGCCATAGAAGGGAGGGCTGTGGGAGGGCCACATTACACAGAGCAGGGAGGGCTGTTGGAGGGCCGTATTAAACCGACCCCCGGGCCGTAAATGGCCCGCGGGCCGGACTTTGGACATGCCTGCTCTAATCGCACCAGCACCGGTCAACCCAACATGTAACCCCAAACCATAATCCTGACCATAATCAAACCAATAACCCTAACCCTGCAAATAACTTTAATCATACTTATGTCATGGTTCAAAAAAAAATCAAGGCCCCGAATTTTGCTTCTGAAGTGTTTTACTATGTAAGTAAACAGAAGTGAAAATGTGGTGACATGACACCCAAAGAAGAGGACATCTTGGTGGAGAAGGGCCATTTAAAGACTCCCAATGTACGAGGAGTGGGCAGGCACTAGTAGCTGTAGCTGGGTGTCCAATGTGTGTTTGTGTGTACACTGTGACATTAATAAAATCTTCTACAAACACTCAGAGGAGATCGGATGAACCTAGACATGATTGCAACATAAACAGAAAACAGTCACGGTGAGTCAGCCACTTCATCTACTGTTGGCAAAACATTCATTGGTCTCCGCTTCCTCCTTCCTGGAGGCTAAAAGAACCAGTTTCGTACCACAGATAAAAATATTGGTTTTGTTGAGCAAAACACGGAGTTATTATTAGAAATGTATTGAGCAGAAGAAGAAGTCATTATCAATAGAAAACCCTGGGCGCTGTTCAGCCTTACTCAGCCTTTTTACTTCTGAGGAACCCTTGAGATAATTTCAGGTCTTTAGGCACCCTTGCTATAACCAATTCATTAGGGGGCCTTGGGAAGAATACCCATTATATTGGTAGTCATTGAAATGAATGCCCGTGCCCCTTACACTGGTAATCAAAATGCCACTCTTACAGAAAACTAAAAAGATCATTGGTGTCATGCAGCTGGCTATGCCAAGTGGTGTTGGCCCTGGAACTATGCAGGTACAGTCAAATGGGAGATCAATCATTCACAGCTCAAGGAACCCCTTAGCAGCCTCTGAAGGAACCCTGGTTGGAAACGGCTGCTCTCATGGAGAAAGCATATTAGAAGGTTCCTGTCCATTACTAGCAGTCAATCAATTGATCAATACTCAAGATACTTGAGTACTGAAAATAGATTGGAAAGGAAATGAAAGGGAAGGACAAAGAAGGGACAAATGAAAGAAAAAATGAAGGGCAAGGATTGGTCATTATGAGTAGCCTTATGGAAGTTCTGGAAATTCTCAGCAGCCAATTTTTTGATGTTCTGAACTCTACATTTTAGGTGTTCTAAGCTCCATGTAACATGGCATGACATGACTACGTTACATCAAGTGACAAATGACTTACTGTTGTTTAGCGATGTTCCGTTTTCTGGCTTTTCAGGGACATCACGGACAAAGCGCCTAATGACCTCAAAGTCATGGTTGCTTCTCTGTACAGGATGACCTGTCTCCTCTCTCAGTGACTTGCAGGAGCAGAACAAACCAGATACTGTAGAAATAACGCAGGAAATTAGTATTCTAACATCTCCCTTATCAACCACTCAGTGCCAATCCAGCCACTGGCTTCCAATCGCCCATGAAATCAAATTGAGAATGCTAACTACAACGACTACATCACTAACCTGGTCTCAAAATATCACCCAAACCGTCCTCCTCACTCCTCCCAGGACCTCTTGTTCTCTAGCTCCCTTGTCTCCTCCTCCCATGCTCACCCCCAGGACTTCTCCAAAGCCTCTCCCATCCTTTGGAACTCTCTACCCCAATCTGTTCAACTACCTCCTACTCTGTTCATCTTTAGGTGATCCCTGAAAACTCATCTCTTCACCAAAGCCTATCCTGCCTTCACCTAAGAAGTGAACTTTTCTTTCTTCGTCAATTCTTCCCTACACAGTTATCACCTTTCGTACCACTTGTCCTTCCCTTTAGATTGTAAGCTCTCATGAACAAGACCCTCTCAACCTTCTTGTCATGAATTGTGTTATAAATGTACTGTCTCCTTTTATATTGCAATGAGCTGCGTAAGATGTTGGTGCTACATAAGTCCTGTATTATAATAAATATAATAATAATAACCCCCAGTGACCTCCCCAATGCTCACACCTCAAACATGGTGTAGGCCTAATAGATAGGTTGGCTTAGCTAAGCAACAAAATCAAAACTAAAACTATTTATTATGTTTTTAGATACTGTATGTTTGTCGGAACTGACCAAGTTTAAGATGAGAGTCAGTAAAGTTCTGATTCTAAGCTCAGGTTTCCCTGAAGGACTTCCAGATAACTGGGGACAGGTGGTGTCCGGGTATACATAGATGTACGCAAGCTCTAAGGAATCCATTACACACATACAGTACTTTAAAAATATTCCATCAAACTCTACATTGGGTGATATGCATTTATTGACCATTAGCTGACATTATAAAAATATATAAAACACAACAAAGCTAATGATTTGGTGGAACATTGCCTTAACAGGGCCATACAGTACATGTGCCAATGTTCAACCAATTTCAGCCACTGGGGCTTTACTAGATACCTTCAGCTGCCATTGCCTATTGCTGGGTGTCCAGCTTGTCCCTGTACCTTTGTAGCTCCCTCTAGTGTGCTACTAGAATAGTGTAGTGTATTGCAGGTGAAATCATTGTGTATAACTCATGGTAACTGTGTGAGTCTGGATTGAGGTCGGGTTACTGCAGGTCAGCTAAATGACTTAACAGGTTGTGACTCTATCGCCTCCTCCTGACTCTGGAGGACCATAGAACCTTCCAGATGTCAGTAGGCAGGAGGGGGTGGAAACCTAATTTGCATGTTTATGGGTGTCTGGCCAATCCCAGGTTTGGAGGCCCTGATAGCGTGATGAACTGGCCCATAAATATGTCAGTCTGAGTCAGGCTGACATGTAGCAAGCTTTCAAAGGACAGCACTGGGCTCAATCCTTTATCCTTGTCCCGGGAGATCTTCCGAGAAGCCAAAAGGGCTGATAGTATCTGAAGGCTGTGGAGCTGGGAGCAGTTCTACAGGGGAGAGGAGCCACCTCAGTATGTAGTTACAAGAAGATAAGCTGATTTTTGAGGGGCTGCTAGTTCCTCGTCCATAAAGGGCTGTTACTACTGATCTGCAAAGACTGATGGCTTTTAAGGAAAAAGAACAGTCCAGGGTCTGTTTCTGTACATAGGAAGGACGTTGTCCCCCTTCATTGATTCAAGCCAAACTGGGCATCCCATAATCTCTATTTCCCTATCCAAGTTATTTCCCCAAATAAAATAACAAAAACCAATCTCATGGACCGTTCACTGACACCGAGTGCAAAGTGTGGAAGAACAAAGTGTGTTGCCTGGCTGTGCAGAGCTTAGCCGTACCCACAACACAGCAGCTCTCACGAGGGTAGAGCAACACCTTTAATCGGGGGTGGGCTCCCTCCGGGCATACCTTCCCATAATCTATATACTTGAGGGACACTCAAAATTTATAGAGTTAGGACTGCAGTGCACTGGGGTGCCGTGACGTGGCCTCTGCAGCTTCCGC